GAAATTTTAATATGTAGTATAGTTTAGTATGCTATTCAAGGAATTGACGTTAAAACATGGTGTTAGAAATATTTTTTGAGCTAGAGTGTTTGGTTAGATATCAAACTAATCTGTTTGACTTATGAATCAATAATCTGAAGTCTGTTTGTTTGTAGGTGCTTTAGATGCAAAGATACAACCTTTTTAACCTTGAAAAGACATTTGGTCAAGTAAACAAAACCTCTATTTTTTTTAAGCGAATTTCGGCAAGCCGGCAAGATCTTTGGAAAAAAACAAAGTGTCTTTATAGGGAGAGATGCCGCGGTGCATTTTTACTGTAAAGTGTGCCACTTTCGGCACGATTGTGCAGCAAGGAACAACACTGATTAGTGACATAGATTGTACTGATGCCTGTACAGTAGTCTCGTATTTGGGAAAATCAGCTATTTTCAAAAGAATATTGTCTGTATCTCCTTGACAGTTCTTTGATCCAGAATTAAAAATGTCAATACACAGTAGCTTTTTGAAAGAAGCCTGAATTTGAGTTGATGTCGGATTGATACAATTTCCACTTTGCTGTCTGATTTTCCAAAAAAAATTTATAAAGCGTCTTGATTCAACCGCCTTGTCAATAAATATTCGAAACCAATTCCACTTACCTTCTTCCATATTAATTATAGGGCTTTAATAGATACCGTCCAATCTTTAAGACATTTTATGTAACCTCTATTATTTTTATCAAAATGCTTTACTTTTTTAAAAAAATCCACACATTCATCTAAAAATATTCTAACATTTTATAAGGCCAGTTAAACTGTTTTCCTTGACCTGTGGATGAATTAAGAATATTAAAAAACTTATCGAACATGTCTATACTTTTAGCAGCTTCTGAAAGAACTCCAAATCTAATATTATATAGATTCATAGTAGCTGAAACTGTTGCACCTAAAATGTTTGTTTCAAATGGACTTGGTCTAATAAGAAAATCTATTAATTTAGGTACTGCCCTCGTATTATACTGTTTATCATGTTGATAAAGGGACTCTATATATTACCAGGATGTTACCTTTTTATCAAACACAAAATAATGTTTTAATAAATTAATTCTTGCTAGTTTTATTAGGGCTGGTGCATCATACATATATAACATCCATGAAAAAATATCGTTTATCAGCACTAATATTAAGATTATTGGCTAATTTCCAATTGTTTGGACCTAAATCACTTTCAACAGCACAGATATCTAAACTATAATTATGTAGAGCTAGAACAGCTTTAAACAAAATTTTGCAAAATGTCTGCTGGACAGGACGAATTGTGCAGCTGTTTCCATGAATTGTAAATCTCTCTTACCATAAAAACAGTGCAGCTTTTTGGTTTTTGGTCTATCGCCAAATTCTTCTAAACCTACAATTGCATCTGTCCTCTGTTATAAAATATATTATCTTTAATAGACATTTCATCGAAACAAAGTACACACAATTTATTTAAATTTGAAAATTTTTCTACTTTGTGTTTTAAAATATTCAGTAACTCTTCATTTAGACCCAGCTTAATTTTAATATGTTGAATATGTTTAAAAAGAATTTTAGGACTGGGCAAACAACATTTTTTTACTAAAACATTTTTGTAAAGTTTTGGACCAGTAAAATACATCAGCAGGCATTCATTTTTAAATAGAGCGGTAAATCGTGTACCTTTTGGTTTTTTTCAGATTGAACTACCTGAATATTTGTAAATTTAGCAAGGCTTTTAGTTGGCAAAATTTATAAATCAATTGCAAATAATCAAAAATTGTCGTTTAACTGTTTTAGAGTTTCATTAACTTGATTAAAAGATTTGTTAAAGTTGTTCATTTCACTTTTTAGTATAAAAATGTAACTTACTAATTTTCGTTAATTTCAAAAGATGCAGCTGGATGCGGTTTTCCTGTGTCAATGGTTCCTCTGAATGTGAGACTGTACTGCCTGTCTGTGAGGTGGTGTAGGTATGGTTTGTAAGTTTCTACAACCCGTTGTGGTAAAAATGTTACACCGTGCTCCAGTTCAACCAAAATGCTTGGGCCAAATTTCCCTTGTATTATTTTTGACTTGATAATTTTAAATGGAGTTCCAATAGGTAGAGTATTCAATTTAATTATTGGTTTATGTTTCCTTTCTGTAATTAAAGATGCCTCGTTAAGTTTTGATGTATCCATCTATAAAAAAATACACGTTTTGAATAAAAAAGTTCTCTCAATTTAAAAAATTTTGATTAAAAATATTTAGAAAATTATAGCAAAATCTGTTATGCTGAAAATTTACAGATTTAGAACTTAAAAATACGTTCAAATCGTTTACATGGAACGAAAAATTATGATTAAATTCAAAAACAAAATCTGGTATTTACAAAAATAAATTAAAAAATATACTAAAAATCGTTTACATAAAAAGTAGAGAGTCAGTAAACTTTAAAATTGCTTCAAAAGCAAAGGGATTGAGAAAAATCTACTATTTAGAGGATAAATTATAATTAAATTCGATAGAAAACAAAAGATGATGAAAACCTAATAATAAAATATATATTTCTTACCTTAACGTCACTGTATATTAACTTTAACACACACCAAATATTTGTTGCTGTTGTTGTGGATTGCTGCGGTGATCTGTTCTTGCTGCTACTGTTCACGGTGCTGGTGAGACGTAAACTGAGAAACGATGTGTTTTCCAGGTCTTATATCTGCGTTGTTGTGACGTCAATGAATAATCTTTTATTCAAAAACAACTGCTATATCAGTAAACATTTCTTGTGAATGCGGTTGAGAATTTTCTTATCAGAATTATAACTTCCTGCAAATGTGGTTTTATTGTTTTGAGAACTTTCTTATCAAATTCTAACTTCCCGTGTAACTGTCTGGGAAATATTTTATCAATTTTCAAGTTTCAACAAATGTGGTTTTGTTATCAGCGAGACTATATTATTTTGTTTAAAATTAAATTTTATAATGCATGATACAGGGTGGTGTCTTAATGGTTACAATCAATTTATTTTTCTTCAGCGTATTCTCTTGGTGCGCAAGTTTGACGATACCATTAAACTCCTTCGGTCTCTAATAACGCTTTACAACATATATTAGGTCAACCACGTGACCATTCAGCATGTAGCTCTGATTTTCCTGAAATTTTAATATGTAGTATAGTTTAGTATGCTATTCAAGGAATTGACGTTAAAACATGGTGTTAGAAATATTTTTTGAGCTAGAGTGTTTGGTTAGATATCAAACTAATCTGTTTGACTTATGAATCAATAATCTGAAGTCTGTTTGTTTGTAGGTGCTTTAGATGCAAAGATACAACCTTTTTAACCTTGAAAAGACATTTGGTCAAGTAAACAAAACCTCTATTTTTTTTAAGCGAATTTCGGCAAGCCGGCAAGATCTTTGGAAAAAAACAAAGTGTCTTTATAGGGAGAGATGCCGCGGTGCATTTTTACTGTAAAGTGTGCCACTTTCGGCACGATTGTGCAGCAAGGAACAACACTGATTAGTGACATAGATTGTACTGATGCCTGTACAGTAGTCTCGTATTTGGGAAAATCAGCTATTTTCAAAAGAATATTGTCTGTATCTCCTTGACAGTTCTTTGATCCAGAATTAAAAATGTCAATACACAGTAGCTTTTTGAAAGAAGCCTGAATTTGAGTTGATGTCGGATTGATACAATTTCCACTTTGCTGTCTGATTTTCCAAAAAAAATTTATAAAGCGTCTTGATTCAACCGCCTTGTCAATAAATATTCGAAACCAATTCCACTTACCTTCTTCCATATTAATTATAGGGCTTTAATAGATACCGTCCAATCTTTAAGACATTTTATGTAACCTCTATTATTTTTATCAAAATGCTTTACTTTTTTAAAAAAATCCACACATTCATCTAAAAATATTCTAACATTTTATAAGGCCAGTTAAACTGTTTTCCTTGACCTGTGGATGAATTAAGAATATTAAAAAACTTATCGAACATGTCTATACTTTTAGCAGCTTCTGAAAGAACTCCAAATCTAATATTATATAGATTCATAGTAGCTGAAACTGTTGCACCTAAAATGTTTGTTTCAAATGGACTTGGTCTAATAAGAAAATCTATTAATTTAGGTACTGCCCTCGTATTATACTGTTTATCATGTTGATAAAGGGACTCTATATATTACCAGGATGTTACCTTTTTATCAAACACAAAATAATGTTTTAATAAATTAATTCTTGCTAGTTTTATTAGGGCTGGTGCATCATACATATATAACATCCATGAAAAAATATCGTTTATCAGCACTAATATTAAGATTATTGGCTAATTTCCAATTGTTTGGACCTAAATCACTTTCAACAGCACAGATATCTAAACTATAATTATGTAGAGCTAGAACAGCTTTAAACAAAATTTTGCAAAATGTCTGCTGGACAGGACGAATTGTGCAGCTGTTTCCATGAATTGTAAATCTCTCTTACCATAAAAACAGTGCAGCTTTTTGGTTTTTGGTCTATCGCCAAATTCTTCTAAACCTACAATTGCATCTGTCCTCTGTTATAAAATATATTATCTTTAATAGACATTTCATCGAAACAAAGTACACACAATTTATTTAAATTTGAAAATTTTTCTACTTTGTGTTTTAAAATATTCAGTAACTCTTCATTTAGACCCAGCTTAATTTTAATATGTTGAATATGTTTAAAAAGAATTTTAGGACTGGGCAAACAACATTTTTTTACTAAAACATTTTTGTAAAGTTTTGGACCAGTAAAATACATCAGCAGGCATTCATTTTTAAATAGAGCGGTAAATCGTGTACCTTTTGGTTTTTTTCAGATTGAACTACCTGAATATTTATAAATTTAGCAAGGCTTTTAGTTGGCAAAATTTATAAATCAATTGCAAATAATCATCAATTGTTATTTTATCCAAATGACTTTCATTTGAAACTTGTTGTTCAAGATTTTCAATTTTATTGGTTAAATAATAATTTTCTTATCGGTTACGGTTAGTGGTGGCTAAACATCGATAGTACTATCGATAACTATCGATAGTTGCAACTATCGAAAACATTCGATAGTTCAAAAATACATCGATAGTTTGGATATTGCTAAAAGTTGACCAAAAGCAAAGATTAGATTTAATTTATAATTATTAATTATTGGGTCACAAGCTAAAATTTCAGCTACAACACTTACATCACGACAGTGGTTTTTGTTTTTAATGGAATTCTAAATTTCGCGCATATTTTCACAAAGAACGATGCCTACTTTGACTTTGTTTCTTCGATTGATGTTAGACTGGTTAGACTCCTCAACAAAATAATTGCTATCGAGAGAGACATGGATATATTGATTCTATGTTACAAAAAAGGAGAGCATAGACGAGAGTGACTGTATTTTATACAAACCAGAACAGCAACAGAACAAGAAACTATAAACTATGCATAATTAAGGAACGGAACCTTAGGCAAAACGGAACGGACTCAGTGCTGCCAATGACTCGGCAATTGCCGTGTTTTCACGGCTTTTTAGATTAAAATTGTATGGCCACGGCTTTATTACTGCAATACTGCCGTGTTTTTAAATCATAAATAAATAATTTATGCAAAGGGAATGAATGAATTTCACATTGGACACGGCCATATTTTGTAAAAAGTGTAAAAACACGGCAATTTTCGTTCATGCGCACGGCTATTAATTTCATTCGGTTGGCAGCACTGAATGGACTAAACTAACCTTACTTTTTGTTTTTGTCTTATAAAGATGTTATAAAGTGTTGTCTCTGCTTACAATTATCATTTTAATAAAAAGTATGGTGAGAACAAAAAATAAATCAATAATATGGAAACTATTTACCAAAAGAGAAAATTCTCTCTTTGTTAGATGCAATGTATGTCATTTTGATTACAAAAGTAGTGGGAACACAACGAATTTATTTGATCATATAAAAAGGAAACATCCTAATGAGTTACAGAAAATGAACATAGTTCACACTAAAGAAAATCCCTCTAGTTCTGATAGTGAAAATGATATAGAAGATAATGAGAAAAAGGAAGAAATACCCAACAAGATTAAAAAACGAAGCACAATCAAAAACTATTTTAATAGGGATATAAAATATTCAGACACTAATAAACAAAAGAAAAATATAGATAACGCTATTGTAAACATGATAGCATCCGACTTACAGCCTTATAGTATACTTGATAGTCAATATGAAGTTCCTTCAAGAGGAAAATTAAAAGATACGCTTGTACCAAATGTTTACAACAAATTAAAAGAACAGTTAAAAGTTATACTAGCTGAAGTTAAATTTATTTCGATTACTTCAGACATTTGGACATCTCCATCAAATGAAGGTATTTTAACTTTAACTTGCCACTTTATTGAAGACAACACATTACGATCAGCAGTACTTAAGACTACTCAACTAATGGGTAGTCACACAGGTGCTCAAATTAGTGATGCAATTACTAATATTCTTACTGAATGGAATGTAAAAGATAAGGTTGTGACTATACTTTCCGATAGTGGATCAAATATGTTAAATGCTGCTGCATTATTACAAATTAGACATATTCCATGTTTTGCACATGTGCTTAATTTGCTGGTACATGATATTTTAAAAGATGAAGACGAGTGTTTAAAATCGGTGTTAAAACACTGCAAAGAAATTGTAGCTCATTTTAAACATAGTACCCTTTCTTCTGATAAACTTAAAGAAAAACAAAAGGCAGCCAATTTGAAAACATTAAAACTTATACAAGACACTCCAATAAGGTGGAATAGTACCTTCTTTATGATTCGACGAATATTAGAAATTCGACAACCATTAACACTTGCGATAAGTGAATGTGACAAAGCTCCTCTTCCCTTAAATGCTTCAGAAATGCTATTGCTGGAAGATTTGTGTAACATTCTTAAACCATTTGACGAAGCCACAAAAGAGATATCTGCAGACCAGTATGTTACCATATCATTAATAATACCCATAATTAAAGGCTTAACTTTGAGCTTACAAAGTTTAAACAATGATTTAACATCAGAAGAAGCAAAAAAAATTTTAAGCATCTGCTTACAAAGAGTTCAGGTTAGATTTTATCCATTTGAAACAAGATCAGCTGTTTTATTGGGAACAATTCTAGATCCAAGAATGAAAAAATTGGCATTTCGACAAAGGGAGCATGCAAATAATGCTTCTCAACTATTAATAAATGAGGTAACTAGTGAAATAAATAGAAGTAAGAAAAATACATTGGATGAACACTCTGAAGGGCAAATTAAACCATCAACATCACAAGGCTTATTAGGCTTTTTGGATGAACTAGTTTCAAAACAAAAGGAAATTGGTACTCCCACATCCAGTGCAATTATTGAAGTAAGAGAGTACTTGGAGAAACCTCCAATCTCAAGGAGTGAGAACCCAATTGAATATTGGAAAAACTATCAGTGCAATTATTTAAAACAAATAGCATTTAAATATTTAGCAGTGCCAGCAACTTCTGTGCCCTCCGAAAGGGTGTTTTCTAAAGCAGGGCTGGTAATGACAGACCGAAGGAATAGAATAAAACCAAAGAATTTGGATTGCCTCATTTTTATGAAGTCAAATATGTGGCTCTATTCTAAACAATGATTCTGAAACTTCATTTTTCTAATGAATTTGTGCTACAAATTCGTTTTTGTTTCATTTTTTTTTATTTATGTACAGGTATATAGGTAGATACTTGTAATTATTGTGATAATTAAAGTTTATTTTTCGTTTTATTTATAATTAAATTTCTTTTGCATTTGCATCCTAACCTTATATGATGCCTATCCTATGATGGCTAAACGGCTAAACTAAACATCGATAGTACTATCGATAGCAATCGATAGTTTTATTTTTGCTATCGAAAACTATCGATACTATGACTATCGATGTTTAGCCATCACTAGTTACGGTTGATCTTAAAACTTTTTTCCTGTCATTCCGAGCTAATAACTTGTTGGAAGTTTGAGTTGAACTTGACGTTCATCATCATCATCATCATCATCTGAATTAGGGCGTGGTTCAAAGCCCACTTGTACTGAAGCTCTAGGCTTATTGTACCCCTCACAGTTTCTATCCCATCAGATTGATTTTCTTGATGAATTCAAGAATATGTCTGATGGGCGCTTTCGCGATTTCTTCAGGTTCCGGATATTGTACCCCGAAGTACCATTCCCGTTCCCATTTAAGGTTCCGGCAGTGGCATAGTATGTGAATAGGAGTTTCGTCCTCCTCTTCACATATTCTGCATAGGGAGTCATCAGATATCCCTAAGAGATTTAGGTGTCTTCTAAGGCCGCAGTGTCCCGTAAGGAGTCCTATTACGGCCTTGAGTTCGCTTCTGCTAAGGTTTAGCAGTTGATGTTGTCTGCTCGTGGATGGCCCCTCTATGAATCTTTTGGACTGTCTAAGTCCAGGAAGTTCTATCCAGAGCCTATGGTGTTCTCTTTTTATTTGTTCCTTTAACACCCATTTAACATGTTGGTATGAGATACCACATGTGGGTTCTGGTCCAATAAGAGTTTTTTCCGCTCCCTTCCTTGCTAGGAGGTCTGCTTTCTCGTTTCCAAACACTCCCTCATGTCCTGGCACCCATTCAAGGGTAATCTTGTTATGTTCTGCCAGAGCCTGGAGGGATTGTTGGCAATCAAATATTGATTTAGATTGTACTTCTACCCTTTTTAGTGCTTTAAGGGCTGCCTGACTGTCTGTCATGATAACGATTCTCTTATCTCTAAGAGAGTCATTTAGCATGACTTTGGCGCAGGCATTTATTGCTGCTACTTCAGCCTGGAAGACTGTTGTCAGTGACCCCAGGTTCAAACTAATTGTCCTCCCTGAGTTCTCATGGTAGATCCCAGCTCCTGTGCTGTTTTTCATTTTCGAACCGTCTGTATACCAGATTGATTCGTTTTGTTTTTCCCTTTTTTCCCGGCTTTTGGCCCTTTCTGGTATTTGAATATCAAAAGGTTTCTTGAAGTCGTGAATAATGGGCGTTCTATCCGATGGCATTCTTAGTACCGGATTTTGTTTTAGTTTCTCTAATATCATTGTGTGGTGTCCTTTTCTCGAAAGTTCCCATCCAAATCCATTAGTAAACAGCCTGTATGCCGCCGCCATAGCCTCCTTCTCCACCACAAGGTGAAGTGGAGGAAGACCTAGCAGTAGCTCCATTGCTGCTGTGGGCGTAGTTTTAAATGCCCCTGTTATTATTAGGCAGGCTAGTCTTTGTACCTTGTCTAATTTTCTGTTAGCTGTTATGCTTTTAGTCTTGTGCCACCATATGACTGATGAGTAAGTTATGACCGGTACTACAACCATAGTGTAAAGCCAGTGCATCATACTTGGTTTAAGCCCCCAAGCATTCCCTACCATCCGTCTACAGGCCCATAGTATTCTTACAGCTTTTTCTGTTGTTTTTTCTATATGGCTACAGAAGCTAAGCTTGTCATCGAGAGTGATTCCAAGATATTTAACCTCCTTTGCCATTTTTAGATGTTGTCCCCACATATAAAGCTCCTTCATTCCTTGAAGGTTCCTTTTTCTTGTGAATGCAACAACAGAGGTTTTTGTCGGGTTTGTGGACAGTCCCTCTTTTAGGCACCATCTTTCGACGATATTTAGTGCCCGCTGCATCCTTTCTGATACAACAGTCCCAAATTTACCGTTTACTACGATGCTTATGTCGTCTGCAAATGCTTGCGTGTATAAGTTTTCTCTCTCTAACTCCCATAAGAGGTCATCAACCACCAAGTTCCACATAAGAGGAGATAGCACTCCTCCCTGCGGGCATCCCTTGTTAACTGAGACCTCTCTTGTTGTGTTAAGGAGATTACTGGTAATGGTCCTATGATTAAGCATGAACTCTACCCACTTCGTAATGCAGTGGGCTACTCCACGCCTTTGCATAGATCCCAATATTGAATTGTATGAACCCGAGTCAAAGGCTCCTTCTATATCTAGGAAGACTCCTAGTGCTATTTCTTTGCTTTCCAATGCTTGTTCAGCCCGTTGAGTTAGCCTATGTATGGCTGCATCGCAAGACTTTCCAGATTGGTAGGCAAACTGGTATCGATGTATCGGTTTATCCCGTAGAACATCATCCCGTATATATCTATCGATCAATTTCTCCAATGTTTTTAAGAGAAATGACGTTAGGCTGATTGGTCTGAAAGATTTCGTCTCCTCGTAGGAAGTTTTCCCGGGTTTGGGAATGAAGACCACTCTTGCACACCTCCAGCTTTGTGGAACATATCCGAGGGCTATGCTAGCTCGGAATAGTTTACACAGTGGTCCCTCCAGTATTTCCTGGCCCTTTTGTAGGAGTGCCGGGATTATACCATCAGGTCCAGCTGTTTTGTATGGTTGAAAGGAATTTATCGCCCACACAAGTTTTGTTCTGTTTACTATTGAGTTTGCAAGAGACCAGTTTGTTTTTGAGGCCCTAGAAATTAGTGCCTCAGTACTCCTGTTCTGTTGGTCAAGAATAATCTTACATCCAGGAAAGTGTGACTTTAGTAGTAAATCTAAGGTCTCCTCCTCTGTTTTTGTAGGTTCTCCTTGTTGATTTTTCAGAGATCCCATGCATCCTTGCTTATCTCTCTGTAGAGTTTTCCTGAGTCTGGCACATTCTGGAAGGCTTTCAATGCCGTCACAGAATTTTTTCCAGGAATTTTCTTTAGCTTTCCTAATGGCATAGCCATATTCTCTCCGGTACGCCTTATAGGCTTCCCAGTTCCCCGACCTTTTAGACAGGTTGAAGAGTTTACGAACTTCTGCTCTTTTTTTGGAAAGGTCTCGATTCCACCATACAGCGTCTCGATCCTCTTTCCTAATTTTTAAAGGGCAGTTTTTTTCAAATGTGTTGGTTAGGGTTCGTGTCAGAAACTCTGACATAAACTCAACTTCCACTGAATTTTTCGGTATCGGAGGACAGTCCTCCAGTCCCTGTTTGAGTTCTTCCTTGAAAGCTCCCCAGTTACAGGTCCTAGGATTACGATATGTCTTCTCACCCGAGGTTTTAGTACCCATCTCAAACAGGATATGTCTATGGTCGGAAAGTGACGCTTCTGGTGAGACGTGCCACTTCCCCACCAATGAACATGCCCGTTTTGTACCTAGGGTTATATCAATTACCTCCCTTCGCACAGATGTTACGAAGGTTGGTTCATTTCCAACGTTTGCAACTTCTAGTTTATTGGATGCAATAAATTCCAGAAGAGCTTCTCCTCGGTTATTAATGTCAGTGCTTCCCCACACTATATGGTGAGCATTGGCATCACACCCTAGGAGAAGTTCGATTTTGTTTTTTTCACAATGACTAACCAGTTCTCTCACCTCCTTAGTGGGGGGAAGCCCAGGTTGGTCGTATGGTAGATATACGGATCCAACAATCAGATTAGTTCCTCCGTCTAGCTTTAGGGATATTGTCACTAGGTCATTTGTACAAAATTCCCATAGTGGAAACACCTTCAAGCTTTTATTTGCAATAATGCAGGTTCTTGGGTGTCCAGACGCTGAATAAATCAGGTCATAGTCCCCTGATATATGCAACCCTCTAATTTGCCCCTTGTATATAAGTGGTTCTTGGATTAGAGCAAGATCAATGTCTTGTTTTATTATACATCGTTGTAGGACAGCTGTTGCCGCCCAACAGTGATGTATATTTGCTTGGATTATCTTCATATTTTTTTTTTTAAGGTACCCCCTATTCCTTGATGTAGGGTCCTCTTCCTCCTCCGGCACGTCAGCCGGGTTAGACAGCGGTGAGTCCCCTAAAAGAGTCCCCTAAAAGAGTCCTCTCCTCGTCTTCACCTAGCTCGCGTGCTGCGGATTCCAAGTCCCCTATTTCCATTGGAGCCTCAGTCTCTTGTTCTGTAGCCCCACTTTCTTGTGGTTCTACGACCAAGGATTGATTCTCCTCTGGTATGTTATCTCCTACCTCAGTAGGTGTTTCTTTTCCCTGAGAAGTTTCAGGAGCAGCAGGAGTAGCCCGTTCCGTCTTTCCTCCAATTTCTTTTATGGAGATATTGGAGAAATTCAGGAACAGTATTCCCTGCTTCTCCTTTATCTTCTCCCAAGAGACGGAATCCATGGTTATGAAAAGTTGCTGTCCCCTGGGGTCCAACTTCCTTCCAGTAACCCTCCAGTTCCCCGTTTGGAGCCCCGAATTTTGGATTCTCAGTCTTTTCATTATTCTTTCCGGTTCCACTGCGGGTCCCGGTATCCATGTCATGGTAAACTTGGGTTTGATTACTTCCCCAGAGTCTATGACTTTGAGTTTAGCACCATCCCAAGGTACCATGCTCTTGACGGTCTGCTCAACCCAATCTCTCGTTGCTTGATCAACGCAGGAAAGGTTCAAACTCCCGTTTCTTATCCTAGCTTCGGAGAACCTGGGTGAAAGTCCTCCTTCATCTAGTTCTTCGAGTCTGTCGAGCAGTGCAGTCCTTATTAGGTCTCCCTGCTCCGTTGTTAGTGTATTACTGGGATAGTCTATTGGTACAATGGCTACCCCAATACTGCTTACTTTAGAGGCGTAAGAACACGATGCTACCGGCTCAGTCCCATCCGGCCCCACATTTGATGTGGCACCAGTTGGTCCCGAACCCGCAGCTCTCGCATCCTTAGCCCTTTTGGTTTTTCCTTTTTCCGGCGTGCTGGTATCGGACCGGTTTCTCTTTTGAGCCCCGGTTCGCCCCTGCTCGCTGGACACAGCCTTAGGTATGTTTTTTTGTTTTGCCATCCCTGAGGCACTAGGACTCGCGTTTTGTTCCATCTCCGTAGAGAAAGGACGAGACGCTTGCCCCCGTTCCCCTGGTCTAGCATTCGTCGGTCGGATGTTTTTTTGTTTTGCCATCCCTGAGGTACTAGGACTCGCCTTCCGTCTCATCTCCGTAGAGATAG